TTAATGTGCGCTTCCCCTTTTGGTATCAGAGCCATTTAGTGATTATTTGAGTAATCTATTCTGTGTCCTTTTAAAATATTTTGTCACTAGCTAAGATTTAATTAACATATGCAAGCTAGCATGAGACAAATAATACCATTTTAACAAATTCAAGTACGTATATGTGTGTGTGTGTGTGTGTGTATGAGTAATGGGAGAGTAATTGAATAAAAGTCCCTGAATAAGTCCCGAAACGTGACTTATCTTCTCCACGTCAATTACATAAGCACATTCCCAAGAAAGTATTTTTTAACTAATATAAAGTCAAATTTATCCTTAATATTCAACTTTAGCTTCATTACATACCTTTACATTCTCTCTACAGGACTCAACTCTCTCCTTGAGGTCTCAACGAACCTTTAATCATGAATTTTTGCCCTTTACCCAAATTTTTTTCTCTCTCTAAAATTTGGATTTGAAACTTTATCCCATAAATTCTCGCAACTTTCTTTCTCTCAAACTCTATTTGGTTTCTCTTATTAAGATTTGGGAAATTTCTATATCTTCTTCATCAATTTGTTCTCACCATTGTCACCATTCATTTGTTTCCCATCTCATATCTAGGGCTACAACTCGGGCGGGTTGGGCGGGCTGAAGACTTAATTCGGGCTCAGCCCATGTACAAAATCTTTTGCCTAAGCCTAGCCCGAGCCTGCCTAAAGCCTAATCCCAGCCATCCAAGCCCAGCCCATAATTAACTTCTCCTGCCCAAGCCCGCCCATGAGCCCACGCCTCTGTATTCAGAATGTAAAAAATAAGAAATTTGTGCAACTACAAGGACTCGAACAACATTCCTCCAAGAAAAATCCCAAACACACTACCAACTAAACTATTATACACTTGTGAAATAACATAGTTTTAAAATAAATATACCATTTCTGGGCTCGGACTAGGCTTCAAGCTTTATATAATATCAACTCAAACCCAGCCCGAATTTAATTCGGGCTTAGAATATCTAGCCCAAGCCCAGACCTAGAACAGAAAACACTGCCCAAGCCCTAAAAATTTCGGGCTGGGCTCGGGTAAATTCGGGCTGGCTCAGCCCGAGTTGCAGCCTTACTCATATCTCTTCCTAAAGAAATCTTTAAATTTGTCCATCTACGAGGCGCTCTGTGGCATCTCTCTTGCACAATAAACCCTAATCTCCAAACTTATCAAAGTGGGTCTATTGGTCTATGTCCAATAATTGGTGACTTGTTAACTTGGTGAGAAAGAAAACAACAGAAAAAGAATGAAAAGTTAAAAGGTTTTGAGATATAAGGTGAATTTATAAATTAAGATGGTGGTGGCCAGATAGAGAAGAGATAATTTTAAAGAGAGATTGGATAATTTTTTTAGAGAGAAATGGTAAAGGGTATGGTTCGTATGGAAGCCTGCCGATTTGCTTTCCACGTGGCCAAATCATGACCTGCTTCCGTGTTGTGTTATTCACTTCATATTGGTAATGCAGAGAGCTTACCTTTCTTAAAAAACGGTCCACTAGACTCCTGACGTGACCTAATTTATTCTAGATTCGATTGAAGAGGCATGAGAAGGCGTGAATAGAGACATTCTCTGCCCGTATGGACTTTTTGGTACCTGTAGTAGGTGAAGTAGGTGGAGAGTCTAATTATCCAGCTGGAGGGATTTCTTCGTCCTCGTCCAGATAATCTCACCGGACAAAGGCAATCGTCGCTTACCTCGATGCTCGCAATTGCAAAAAAGGAAAATTCATTACAGGTTGTACAATAGCCTCTGAATTAGCCAAGTGGATCAAGGCAATGGATTGTGAATCCACCAGGCGCGGGTTCAATTCCCGTTCCATACAGATGACAAAAACTAGAAAAGTATAAAGTGGTCACAGATAGATAAATTAAGTAAGAAAAGACTTAGCAAAAATTTTAGAGAAGAAATATGGGTAAATTGTTAGAGAGAGAAAAAGTGAAAAATGTCAAGAGAGTTGAGCCGTAAAGAAAGAATGTGAAGCCTATGTAATGAAGATAAGGTTGAATATTGAAGGTAAATTTGTCTTTTAATTAGTTAAACAATTTATTTCCTAGGAATGTGCTTACGTAAATGACGTAGCAAAGACAAGTCATGTTTCGGGGCTTATTCGGGGACTTCTATTATGTTTCTCTATCATTGTTCTATATATATATGAATAATGATAGGGAGACCGATGAATTCACCCCGAATAAGTATCGAATCTGAAAATTACTAGTACTTAAAATGCTCTTTTCCAATTCTTTATAATTAATATGTCATTTTCTATATATTAAGTTCTTTTTCCTTTCCAATCATGTAATTAGAACAATAAATCATATTCTTTGACGATAAAATGTTAATGAGGTTGGAATCCAATAAAATGCTGATAATAAATAGAAAACTTATAGTAAGAAATATAATACATAGGTTATTGTCTTTTTTAGTTACAACTTTGTAAGAAATGGAAGAATTAAGTTAAATCATTTTTAATTATGTCAAATTACTAAGGCAATGCTTATCTCTCACAATTACTATTGTAGAGAATGACGGAGATTAAAGTAAATGAGTTTATTTACATCTTTATCCTACTATATTTATATAGTTGGTAAGAATGGTATGTAATCGGTAAATTTATATATATATGTATCTTGTATATATAGTCTCTCTATATATAGTTTGGTTGATAAAGAATGAAGCAAATGGTAGTGAGGGTTAATTTGGTCTAATAAAATAACTTGTAAAGGTTTTAAAAAGTAATTCTTGGTTCAAACACATCAACTAACAAGTCCAAGGGCAATAATTTCAATTCAAAGTGGTAAGAGACAATTGGGGGTGTCTTTGTTAACTTTAGCAAACTTGTAGGAGTATCATTGTTAAAAACTAAGTTAATTTGTATATATTTGTCAATAGGACAAATTTCAGAAGGTGTAAGTGTAATTTACTCTATTATTTATCATTACAATTACAACATACGGACAACAGGCTTTCTATTTTCTAAGGGCAAAATTGAGTTTTAATTCAATTTCAAACCATGATATCAGCGGATAATAGTAACGAATTTAATGACAGTAGAAGATGGTGTTACTTAGACCAGAACTACATAGAGGTCACTATTGTTTTTAAAACTAGAGGGAGGTTCCTATTATTTAGACAACCAAGAGGTTTGTATAATTTACCCTCTATTACTTTAGGCTTGATTGGCTTGTTGAACAATTATGAAGTCGAATTGTTGATGAACAACTGATTCATAGTAAACAATCTCTATTCGAGTAGATGTGTGTTAACTGGTAATAAGTGGAATACTCTTCCTTTTTCTGCATTGGCTTCTGATTTTCTGGTCCTCTGCTTGGGTTTCAGGGTAAAGCGATATGTTATATAAGGTGGTGACTTCTAATCAGTACAAATCTTTCATAGAGAAGGATGAATTTTAAGATTTTAACAATTTATTTCATCTTTTTCATAAAATTTTGAAGTTAGACTTCGCTTATAATTCATCTATTAGATATTCTTTAACTGCAAGCTAGGCATTTGTTATTACAATTTGGATAGACTTTCCCCAAATGTAGCAATATTTTCATGAACTCTGCTTTCATTACTCTCTGACAGCTTTCAAAGTCATCTTCTCTTACACATTCACTGTTCAAGCATCCTTATTTCTTTTCAATGTATTGTTTGTGTAGTCAACAACGGTGCATATACTTGAAGTATGCAATGCAGAATATGTACTTCAATAACAACATATGGAAATATTATCAATTTTGGAACTCTCTTTAGATGTAGCATAACAGCAGTGAAATACTAATGCCAATTCTGTTAAACATACCTTCTTGGGATCATGTTTGTGATACTGATACTAAATGCCACAATTTATAATACTTACTCCGTTTGTTTGATCATTAAATATTTTCTGAGTTTTTTGATATTTGGTTGTCGTAAAATATTTATAAAGAAAAAATAAAAATAAAAATAAAAATTAACAAAAATTACTTATTCATCTATTTTCGGCAAACTATATTACACGCACCATCTGATGAACTGGACCTCAATCTCAATCTCAATCTAGACCTTTGCCAAACATCGAAAAATAAAAATAAAGAAAAATATTTTCCAAAGAAACAAACAAAGCCTAAATCAGAAATTTGTTTCAACCGAGTGCTACACACAAAACCTAGAACCAGAAAATGGAGTCCCACAATTATACATGTCTATCGAGAAAAATAGATATGCATATCAATACCAATGAAGCACCTGAATGAAAACATTCATGAAAATTGGAACTCTAACCTCTGCTTCAATAACTATCAATTCTGTACCGGTACTGAAAAAAAAAAATCTAAACATCATGATCCACACACTTGGTAATGCATTTTCAGTCTTCTAAATATTAGGATCCATTCTTTATAGGGCAAAAAGAAAAAAGTAACCATTGAAGCTTGAAGAGGGGCCATTTTCTGCAAACTTAGTAAGTAGATACATAGATGAAATCTTCATTCCCGGTCCCTCCATCCTTTTTCCCCCTTCTCTTTAATCGATCTTCAAACCTGAAACCCAGATAGAATGTGCCAGAAGGGGTCTAAAAACCCTCTTGAGGAACACACCAAAACAACTATAGGATTCCATTTTTACCACTTCCTCTTCCTTTCAGGCAATCACATCCATATTTTCTATACGCAACTAAATCCATACAATCTTAATAAGAACCACATCCTTATGTTAATAAGATGGTCTTATGATAATTCCAGCATCTTTTTAAATTCAAAGGACCTCATAGTTTTTATGAAACACTTCCACTAATTTACTCAGCTTCATAGCTTTTATGAAACACTTCCCCACTAATTATGCAGCTTCTCTTCTATGTTCTCAAACTCCGAAGACCATTTCCATAACTACTTGTATAAGCTTGGGAAGCTCACTACCATGATGCATCATAACAAATCTTCCGGACAGAGCAGCCAATGTATTTTTATCAGAAGTTAACTACAGTATAACACGAGGAATTGGAGACAAGAATGACGGTTCAATTTTATTAACAAAAGAAGTTGTTGAAACATTCATACATGTAAGACGGTGAAAGTGCACACATTGCAACAATGACAAGTTTCTGTACAAGATGAACATTAGGAAGAATCAAGACACTTACAACAACATTTGAGAGTCGAGACAAATGGAATGAGGACATTGACAGAAGGCTACCAGTTTTCCTTTACAATTTTCGCTTTCTCAAGTATAAACTTCCCTTCTTTGTACTTTTGAGTTGCCTCATAAGCTCGTTCGTACTTCCAACCCAACACTTCACGACAATCAGCACAAGACACATCGGCAACTGTGTGAAGACCAGTCGTGAGCTCCCTGTCTTCCTTAGGCCCAACAATTACATTCATTGCATGGGAGAACAGAAAAGCTCGGCCATTTCTTCCCTATCAACAAGATTATGGAAAAATGTTGAACATGATTATGTGTTTTAGAAGTAGCAAACAAAGTACTCATAAAAATCAAGCCTAAAACAGAACAATGAGATTGTTTCAACTAAATGAACTAATTTTCTGCAATTCCATTTCCATGCTACCGAACATAGTTTCAATGACATTGGATGCAAGACAAAGAAAGTTCCCGAAAAGTTGTACATAAACTATGTACATAAACTACAACATCATTTTGAAGAATGATCAGACTCTTTCATTTTGTAATTAACCCACTTATATGTGTTTTCCCTTGGTAAATTTCATAATTTTGTGATTTTTATACATAACATGTATATAAGCAAAAACCAGAGAAAAACTTATAAAGAGGGCATAAAAGCAATTGAATCCGAAAACTATGATTCAACAAAGATATTATGAACTTTAATTTCACCTGGAAAGCCTTAGAAACTATATCATCATGAAGCGAGACATGATTTCGACAATTATAGCAGCTGTACAACCTCGGCCAGACCAATTCCGCCATTCAAAAAGAATTTGAGCAACAAACACCTTCAAAAAATATATCAAAATTACACAGAGCAGAAAATAGAAAAAATTGAACACCCAATTTGCAGTATATCTATATGAATATCTGGAATCAAATTATAACCAAAAAGAAGGAAAAAAGCATTGAATTCTTTTTACCTAAACAAAAGTCAGTGATGACCCAAAACCCTGCACCCAAAAATAAGAAGAACACAGAGAGAGTCAGAGTGGGAAATTGGGCAAAATTGGGAAACAAGCTATACTGAGTAAAAGATTCCAATTAAAGTCTTAGGGTTTGAAAAGAAGAAATGGGATTGATAAAGACATGATAAAAATCAATATATAATTGTAAATATCAAAGCCAATGAGAAGGAAGGTATTGAAATATAATCTACAGTACAATCATTATAGAGAATAAAATAATGGTAGTGGATGAGGATGTGATGTGTAAAACTCAAAATCCTTTGTGATTAGTTAAAAGACTAACATAAATTAACAAAAGAAAGGCTAATCAAGTAATCATATTTCATGATAACTCTTTATTCGTAGTCACCTACCACCACGAAAATAAAAGTGAGGTTTTTTTGGAATGTTCATCGAATTTCAGCTTCTTTGTGCATAGTCTAACATGGACACTGCCGCCATGGAGTATAGTTTAGCCATGTGGGCTTGTGTGTGTGTGTGAGAGAGAGAGACACAGAGAGAGAGGAAAATGGAGGAGAGGAGGAGGACGATTGTAGGTCTTCTTTTGAGTTGACGACCGTTCCGCGTCAGAGTTTTGGCGGGTTGTCCTTGTCGGGCGGTCCGTGTCAGTGGAGTGAACACGTCAGTTTGCTTTTTAACAAAATGACCTTATTATTGAAGAGAACTACAAAAACGGAGTCTTGTAAATAAAGTCTTCATCTAATTTATTTGCTGTTAAGTGTTATCCAAATTACATTTACAGTATAAGATTTGTTTTGAATGGTTCAAATTTTAATCGCCGACAAAAAAAACTCAATCTCTTAAGGAGCAATTGGTCCAATTATTACGTCATTATAAAGGTATATTTGCCCCATTTGTAAATGATTTAGATTTCAAAAAATAAATAAATTGTGTACTTATTGACAATGGAAAAAATGCTACAGTATTATGGAGCCGTTAGTGCTGTTTGGGCCAATTTAACCGAATCACTCTCTAGGTAAAATTTGATTGTTCTTGCAAAAAAAAAAAAAAAATTTAAACATATATGAAGAATAAAATGTCTTTTAATATTTTTTTTCTTTCTTTTTCATCTTATGATCCAATATCACAAATGATAAGAATGATTGTTCGTCATATCGGCTGTTACACGACATATATTGATTAATTCGTAATTCTTTTTCAAGATCCTGATATAGCTCCATGAACCATTTAGTTTGGCCAATTTACATTAATATTTGTTCGAGTCAATTAAATTGCGATACTGCAATTGTTAAATATGTAAAAAAAAATTTGTTAGTCCAAAGTATAAACACTTGTTAAACGTCAAACCCAAATTTTTAAAATAAATATTCAAGTCAAACTCAAAGTACTATCATTTCAAATAATTTGTTTTTGCCAAATTAGTACCATTATTGTTACCTCCAGTTTAAATATAGTTTTATGAAAAAAAATATTCAAGTCAAACACAAAGTACTATCATTTCATTTGTTAATGGTTCAGAAATTCAGATTGATATTTTTGCTGGCATAAGTAAATATATAACTTTATTATACCATTTTAGCCATTGTCGAATTATTTATTCAATATAAAAATATATTTGAATATAATACGTAGTAAATAAATACTGAGGAATTTTTTGTGTATCGTTAACAAGTGGGACATAATTGAATGACGAGGAGAAAGTTTATTTTGTTTCTTGCAGCTCAAACCAAGCCAAGTGCATAATTACAAACTTTAAGAGAGAATGTTTTTATATTCGTCATCATTCTTGCGAATCTTGCCATCTCATATGAATCGCGTAAGCTATATAAATTTTCTCTCTCTAATTTTTTTTTTTTTTTTTCTCCCCTTAGATTGTCATTTTTCCTATAATATTTTACTTTTTAAAGTCATTTTTCACATCTTAATTTTTTGTGGCCATTTCATATCTTACATCTTATTACAACTACTTTTTCTCGTTATCTGGCACATTACTAGATATAAGTATACTTACCCAAACTATCTAAGTATACTTTCTATAATTTTTTATATAATTGGCGCAAGCCATGCCACAAATAATTTCTCTCACACTATCATTAATTAGTGATCGTATTTCTTCTAGTAACTTCACCCATTGACCTTAACACTATCATTTTCATTGCAAAATAGCATTGTTCTTTTTTCTTTTTAAACCCATTATGCTCCATACAACGTAGTTGGTCAAATAATGGTGCTGTAAATTTATTCTTTTAGCCTATGTATCGTGAAAATATTAAATACCTTGGGATCTTCCCGGTCCTTAAATGTGATGGGACCCACCACTACATCCATGATCCAATGACTTCCACTGCCGGGGTATCATTGTTCTGGAATATTTAATACTTTCTCTTGTGTATCATTCTTTTCTCACATAATATCTCACCAGCTTGTCTCCATTTTGTTTAACATGCTCTAATTATATTAATTTACATCCTTTATATATTCTTGTCTATCATTTTGTATTATATATTCGGTATTAGTTCGATTAATCCTTCCGAATTTATAACATTTCTTCACTTTTTAAGTTTGGAAAAACTACACTTACATCGAGTTAGGAGCCTTAAATAACAAAATAGTCTATTTTAAAATTTCATTTTTCAATTTGACTTAATTAAATAAAATAATTACATATGCATCAATAACTATTGTCTAGGTCCAAAATGCCCTCCAAACACTTATTCCAAGATACTAAAAATTATTCCCCTAAAATAAAGTACTTTCTTTAAATACGTAGTAATTTATTTCCTTTAATTTTGAACCATATTGTTACAATTTTCATATATACACACACCACTTATAAAAATAATTTAAAAAATTCAATATGGTAAAAAATGGGGCAATCAAAGGTTAGTCCCCAAAAAGGAAAATATAATTAAACTTAAGAATAAATAAATTGTCTTTGTTGTGGTACATGCCTTGAGATGATCGTCATTTTTTTTTTTGCTCAATTAATTACACTTGTTTTATAAATTTTTTTTTTATTTTTTATTGGTACCATTTACTGAAGCAACGTTTAGTTTTTTCATGATCTCCCTCTCTCGTGCATGTGTACTGTATGTGTGTGTGTGTGTGTGTTTTTGCAGGTTTATATTGTTATAAATTAGGAGATATGATTAAAATTATGTGCAACTAAAATTTTATATATATACATATATATAGGATGAATTTTCACTTAGTGAAATAAAAAATAAAAAATTGCAGATTTAAACCATATGGATTAGGAGATATGTTAAAGTTTTTTGCGCAAAATTTATATAATACACACACACAGATATATATATATATATATATAAAAGTTGTTTTTTATTTTATTTATTTTGGTAATATATACACCATATGCAAAAATGCCAAGTTGAAATTCAACTTATAAATCTTGGGTTTATTTGGTTTGTAACTCTGATAATAGTTTTCTGTTTTCAAAAAACTGAAAACAGAAAACTGTATAAAAAATTATGGTTTGTTTAATTTTCTGAAAACTGTTTTATGAAAACTCAGTTATAAAAAGGTCTGTTTTCAGATAACTGTCTTTTATTTTTATCATAAAACTGTTTTCTATTATCTGAATTCATAAGAACTGTTTTCAGAGTTACAAACCTTGTTTTTCTAAATTTTATGAATGAAATAATTATTTAATTTAGGAAGGATATTTTGGTATTTTGAAATAAGAATTTAGAGGGTATTTTTGACCTAAATAATAATTTTAATGCATATGTAATTATTTTACTTAACTCGACGAAATTAAAAATTAAATTTAAAAATAAATTGATTTGTTATTTAAATTTCCTAAATCTACTTAAGTGTAATTTTTCCTTTTAAGTTTTATTGTTAAATAATCTTATTGGGACTTACAGCTTTATTACTCTCCATCCTCCTAAATGTGTCATCCACCTTTTTTTATTGACTAAGTTATTTATTACTATTTCTATATTAACTTCATTTCATTTTCTTTACTTCTTCTTCTGTACTCCTTGTCATTTAATAGATTTTGAAAATAGTTTTTGTTTTTCATCAGTTAATATATAAATTTATTTGACTAGTATGTTCTTAATACAATTATCTAAATCTATAATGAATCTATATGTTGATAAAAAATAAAAATAAAAATGATTTATATGGACAGGTGTAGAGTCAGGATTTTATTTTAGAGATGCACAATGTAATTATTGAAAAAAAAAATTTAAATCAAAAGGCAGATAAGAAAAAAAAACAGTTCGCAAATTAAGTACTACAAAAAAATATAGTTACAAATATAAGAATCATAATATTGATTGATAATATTTTAACTAAATACAATCACAAATATCATCGATAAAAAGAGAAAGAAGTAGAAAAAATGGAACAATACATAATTATACATAAAGGAAAAAAGAAACAAAAAAAAAAAGAAAAAAGAAAAATATATGATGTACTTGAAGAAGGGGATATATGCAAAAGAAAATTAAAGAAATTTAAAAATTTTAAAAGGCACTATTTAAAATTACCATATAAATATATGTATATAGCAAAAATATATATATATTTATGTATAGAAGATTGGAGCAAAGGCGGGTACACGTGTCCCTCCGGGCCTTAATAGACTCCGCCTCTTATATGGACTCCCTCTTTTGTAATTTGTTTTATTTATTTTTATTATTATTTTGTATAAGACATCGAGGAGTGAGTTTTTGTTTAGTTTTGCAGTTTTTTTATTTTTATTTTTATTATGTATATATAAGACATTGATTGAGTTTTACTATCTAATAAATACATACTACTATAATTATTTATTTTATCCTTTTCCCATTGCAAGGAAAAGAAAAGAATAGAAAAGGAAAGTAGAAGAGAAAAATACATGGGAGAGGACCGTATACCGAAATAATAGGGTTGTCTCTCTACCTTTACTATTTGGCTCGCTTCCCCTATCTGCTGCCAATTTTGTCTTCTCAAAAGAATCTCAGACTTCAGGGAGTGAATTGCACCAATCTTACCGCGACTACTTCAATAAATCGAACTTCGCTCTCTCTCTCTCTTCACTTGTAATTGTCTCTTTCTCTGTCCAAGAGTCAATGGGAGACGCTTATTGGAGGTACAGCGACAGTAGGCAGCAGCCTGCTCTTCATCCTCTTGCCGGAAAACGCCCTCGCTCGGACTTCGGTAACATCTCTCTCTTTATGTATTCATAATTATATGCATATATGAATATGTAGAAGGACACTTATCGGTAGTAGTGGATAAGCTAGGGTTTTGGATTAAAGATTGTATTTTTTTCTTTTTTAAATTATTTTTGAAACAAAGGATTCTAGGGAGCTGTTTTTAGATTTGTTAGGGTTTTAAGGAAATCGTACGTTTGTGGCGGAGCAAATGTTGGGAAAAAAATATGGAAATAAAGAAGAGAAGTTAAAGTTTCGGATCTTTGCTTTTTATTTGGGGGAAAAGACCTATGTTACTTAAACTGAAGTTACTCTTCTTGCATGATGTGCTTCCTTTCACATATATTACTAATTAGGTGTAAACCATTATCTATCTCAATATTTTTCAAAGAGAATCACTACCTCCTCTCTGCGTGGAAAATTTGCGTTTCTTTTTGAACTATACTGAGAAATTGTCGTGTGTGCCATGGCTTTTAAAAACAATTTCCGTTGGGCGGATTATTGTCAAGGGTAAATTTCGCTGACCTCCCTTGAGGTTTGGTCAAATTGCACTCCGGTGGAGCGTTTCGGTATTTTGGCTCCGCTTTAATGGAGCCGGCAATAATTTACACCCAGCTTATTATGAACCGGAAAGTACATGGGTACAGAGGATTATCCGCGAACCTTGGAGTTATATTTCATACTTGGCATCCAAGCGGCATTGGCATTCTTGCCCGTCGAGCATTTGAAAAAGTGTGTGGACGAGCCAGACTGTGGATTTGATTTTCCTTTTAATGGGTTAGTATGGCTTAAGGTAAGCAAGCAACAAGGAGTGAGTTTTATTACTTTAACCTCTCCTGAAAGCTGACGAAAGTTAAAATTGAGGGTGAAAAGTCAATAATGCCTTTTATATTTAAATACTTGTAAAATGAAAGAATTTTTATATGAGAAATTTCTTTTTTGTCCAACATTTATAAAAAACACCACACTCATTCTTTCTTTCCCCTATTGCATTTCTCGAACACATGTATATATGTATATGTGATATATATATGGTATATAGATTATATATATTTAGATATACAAATAGATACACACATATTTTAAAATGTGTAATGCATATAGATGTACATAGCCACCATACCGTCAAATCTCCGGCGGCTTTCTAAAGGCTAATCTTCCCCAGCCTTGTCCTCGGTTCCTCTTCCATAGCAGATTAGGTTGCAACAGCCTCCTCCCAAGTTCGATCGGCTCTCACACCTTTGACGAGAGAGAGAGATTCGACAATTTAAAATCGATCTCCTCTCCCAACCCTTCTTTCAAGATCACTGAACAACCCTTTTAGAACCTACTACTTTAGCTGGATTAAAAGTAGCCCACTCTAAGGGAGCGTTTGAAGTGTCCCTCCACTCTCCATCAAGCCAAGAATACCATCATCACATATTCGTATTGACAACTAAACCCACCTTTCGAAAAACCCGTGGTTGCCCACTGGGTTTGAGTAACGAATTGAAATCGCTTATCCTGAACACCCAAGAGAGCGATTCGCAACAAAACCAACGGTGTTAGAGATGGTGCGTCAGTTCACGCGGTGGGTGTCATCGTGCTAGGTGGCTGTCTCCGACCACACTCTACCGCGTGGACCCTTCAATACACTCCATCTCTCTCATCACCGGAACAATACTGTTATCCGTCACAAAATAGAGAAATGGAAAAATGAGAGAGAAATTACAGTAGAGAAGCGTGGGGAAGAGGAGAGAGAGATGTGGTTTGGACATTAAGTGTATTTTAGTCCATATATTGGTCATTTTTTTTGTTTGTCATTTATTATAAAACTAAGGTTATTATTGTCTTTTCATACAATGGAAGGGCAATATGGTCATTTTATAAAATTTATTTTAACTGTGACGGAGAGAAAACGGCAGGGGTTCCGTTGAGCACACGCACCAAACCTCAAGGGAGGTCAAAGTAATAAACCACAAGTGCTTTATCCGTGTGTAATTTGGCAAAACCTCATGGGAGACCAGTGTAATTTACCTTTTTTTTAAACACATCATACTACGATCCAAATGCATACCTCAAATACATGCCAATAATTTAATTTATACCCATCATTAATTTTAGAGAAAATTGGACCCACTTGAATCATCTAATTCTTAATTGGAGACTACTGAAAATAATTTTCAAAGAAAATGCCCATTTTCTAAACTCTCCAATTTAATTAGATTATTTTTGGTCAATAATTTTATCTCATAAATTAATAATGCTAAAATAAACTATTCAATTATATTTATGGATCTGTATGCATGTCGCAAATTCACAATTGTATAATTGATTTCATTCATGCGTACATACATGAATATAAAATTGCAAGGCAATAGGTCTATGGACTTTTAGAATTCTAAACTTGTAGAAAATGAAGAATATGTGTCACATCATTATTCTTACCCATCCAAAGTGTCATCCAACATTCGTTTTTGTCTTTTAGTGAGACAAGTGGACAATTTCAAATTTTAAACATGTTTTTTTTTTTTTTTTAAAGTCTTAATCTCCAAGTAAATCATCTTTAACTCAACTCATTTGATAACCTATTAAGTTAACTCATCCAACCCAAACATTTCTTGAGTATACCCATGCAAAAACTTGAATAACCCATTTACGAATTGCGCGTGCGCGCCAAAATGGTGTTCGAAAAGTACCCGGAGAGAGAAAAAATCAGTCAAAGGTACTGGGTCAAAACCTCAGCAAAATCCGGGTCAAAAGGAGTTGGGCTAGGCAATGCCCCGGGCAAGGCGGGTCCACCCGGTTCACTGAGCAAATGCCCAGCGTCCTTGCTAGGCACTGTTCGAGCGAGGAACTGTGCCAGATGGCGTCTGGTGACGTCGGATTCTGTTCGGCCAGCCCAAATGGGTGTCAATTGATTATTGGACAGAAGCAAATCAAAGATTTGTTCAGCCTTGGTAATATCAAAAGAGTAGCCTCTAGTGGCTTTGGTTGTCCAGGATTTGAGCCTAGGACTGAAAGGAAGCACCAAGGAGAACTCAACAATCTACAAGCCCATGGGTACTCTGAAGCTTACCGCTCCGTGGATATTATTCAAAGGAGAAAAAGCACTTTTTCAGCTTGCTGACCGGACAGCCCCTTTTCCTCCTCCATTGCCCCTTTTACCATTTTTATTTCTCACCCACTTACCTTGGATCTCTGTTGATGAACCTCAAGCTCCTTCAAGCTCTTGAACCACCATTGAAGCTCCCTTAGTCTTCGAACTTCAAATATTACAAGGCTTTGATGCTATTTACATGAATTTTGATGCAAATTGAATGAATATAAAGATTGAACAACAAAACCCCAACCCTTAGTTTCATTCATCTAATTGAACAATCAAAACCTATACAAACCCAGATACGTACATTCATCCAATTGAAAAATTTACAAGCCCCACAAACCTAAAAACTCACCATCCATGGACAAACACACATGTAAACATTCATTCAAGCATTCATAAACCATTCACAACACATAAACACATATTCAATATATGCAATCCTACATGTTGGTTATTCAAGTTTTTGCATGGGCACACTCGATGAATGTTTGAGTTGGATAAGTTAACTCACCGGATCACAAAATGAGTTGAGTTAAAGATGCTTTGCTTGGAGGTTAAGACTTGGGGGACAAAAAACATGTTTAAAATTTGAAATTGTTCACCGGATGACAATTTGGATGGCTAAGAATGATGATGTTTGCAAAGTTGCAAAGCAAACTTTATTTGATGTAAAAATAATAATCTATTCACTAATCTCTAAACCCTAGCAATTACAAGGCTTTATATAGAGTTTCTTCTTCCCCAATCCTAGTCTTATATTAGCTAACTACCAAATATAAAATAAAATCAAAATAGGAAAGCTGCTGAAAATCAGAAAACTACTCAAAAAGGAAAGCTGATGAAAATCAGAAAACTATATGAAAAACACAGATTACACTTGCAGAATTTGAAATTATGCCTGCATCAGTAAGTATGAATGGAATTAATTATATAATTGTGATGTGCAAACGGATCCATGAATATAATTAAATAGTTTTATTTAGCATTGTTAATTTATGAGATTAAATTGTTGACCAAGAATTATCTAATTAAATTGGAGAGTTAAGGAAATGGGCATTTTCTTTGAAAATTATTCTCAACGGTCTCCAATTGAGAATTAGATGATGTAAGTGGGTCCAATTTTCTCTAAAATTAATGATGGGTCTAATTGTCTAAATTAAATTATTGGCTTGCATTTGATGTATGGTTTTAAAGGAAAACCCTCAATTTATTAAAAATCAAGTTGGTGAGGGTTTTACAAACAAAGCCCTACAACTCCATTATCAATTGTAGTATAATGCTTTCGAAAACAATTTCCGTTTTCAAAAGTGGTGGCATACTGGGCGATTTCTCAATATAGTTAAAAAAGAAGCACAAGTTTTCTCCACGGAGAGGTGGTGATTCTCTGAGAAAAATATTGAGATAGATGATGGTTACACTTGATGCTTGGCCTAATACATTATTCCCCACAGAGAGGTGGTATTATTTATTTAAGTGAGACCAAAGGAAATTGGGAGTTATTTAATATTCGGCATGAGATGCCTGGTGGATTTAAATAAAGGGTCTGTGCCTCTCTAGTTAGTGGGAGTTCATCCCCCACGGCTATGCTTGGCGAGGATTCTTTTTTCTTCACTCCAGTTGATTTGGATATCATTTGATTATGTTAACCTGATTTCAACTCAAATTAGCTGTAACTAGTTGACATCTGCGATCACCTCATGTGGTGTTGTTATTTTATTTGAATACATGATAAATTTGAATTATAATCAAATAGTGGCTTGAAAAGAGTGCATGGGGGGCCTTGTAAACAAGCTATCAGGGTGGTTTATTCCACTTCAACTCAATTCAAAATTCCAAGTGTTTGATGAGATTTTCGAAGGTACGGGATTTATTAGGTTACTCAACTCGACCAAAAAAAGCCTTTTCAGATATTCTCAAGGAAAATCCAACAAATTATATCTAAATTCATCTTCCTAAAATTTGGGTTTTTGTGGGCACACGTATGCTTTTGTGCGATTCAGTAACATTTTGTAGTAAATAATTATAAGGCCCGGTCCTTATGAACTATAGGGGGGCATTTCTTGATGCAGTGGTTAAAAGCTTGGGGTTGTTGGAGGAATACAAGTTTGAGTCTGGTCATAGTCACTTTGTGCTAATAATGTGTCTATACCAGGAATGACAGTTATAACACAAATCTGCTAAAGTTGTTCGAACCCATTGTGAATAAGCGGGTTCAAGTTAACTTATTGTGAGACTTGGGTCTAATTGAGTTGGAAGCGTGTTCCTATTGTCTTTTATGTTAAATAACAATTTGTAGGTCAAAATGGATCAGAAAGGGTATCAGAGATCACTCTTACCTTCGTTATTTGCCTTCAAATTTGTACTTCATACTAGAGTTATAAGGTTTCTCTTACGAATTGTAACCAAGTATAAAAAGACACATCTAGGGTAGTCTTCATAAGCTAGATGCCCATCCAGGAAAAGTTGACACATCAGTCGTGGAGAGTGCCTTATAAAATGATCCAGCATTAAATGCCATACTTAGGAAATTTTCTGTCTAATCTGATCATCTCGTCCTCCATGAAACCTGATCCCATGAAGCATCTTGAGGAACTGTCACAGAATCCAATACCCAATCTTTGGAAGGTACTTCACATGGGAGTCTATGGCACCGTCATGGAACTGGTTGATCGATGTTTATTTATGTTTTAATATTCAAGTACCTTTTCCCAGAAAAGCACAGTGACATGAGAATCATAGTGTGAAGCACACCATCAAACAACATATGTATGCAGTACACTTCTTTTCTGAGGTTTAATATTTTCCTTGGAGTAAATTTGGCAACTATTCATGTTCAGTGATCTGAATAATCATTAATATCCTGGATATTGTTACTTGGCTGTTTTAAGTGTTTAGTGAGATCAGCAAGGTTTCTTTGGCGACTTTTCAAGTTCTGAAACCTGATTAGGAATTGGTAGTTACTGTCTGTTTTCTGTTGCTTCTGGTAGTTATGTGTTGTATGCTTCTATCTTCAAAGTTGCTCATCTGGGTTCATAGGTTGCTGTATATTATTCGTTGTTGGTTTGCTGAAATTTTGTGCTTAATCTTGTAGATGTCCAGGCTCATGAGTTACCGAGCTATTATGCTCGTGAGAATGAACGAGGAGCACACCGTGTAATTAGAGATTCTGACTCCATTGGAGCATCCTATGATCATTACCTGCGCAGTGCGGTATAGTATTTCATGTTTTTGGATTGCAGTGCCTTTTTATGTAGTTGTATGTTTAGGCCTAATGTATTATTGCAATGCACCAGCAAATGCCTTCTTATGGTGGAGGAGAGTCTGCTAGACCTATGAGTGGTGGACTAAGCAGTCGTCCTGTTGATGATCCACGCATTATGAGTATTGGGGGCTCAGATCCAGCTGTGACTGCAAAAGGCCGGGGCTTGGGATTGGGAAGCGGGAGGCATGAACTTGCCCTTCCTCCTGATGCCACCAATACGCTGTTTGTGGAGGGCTTGCCTGCGAACTGTACACGCAGAGAAGTATCTCGTATCCTTTTATTGTCTACCAAATTTTCTCTTTCCATTGATTTATTTATTATTTATTTATCCTTTTATTATTATTATTATTATTATTATTATTTTCATTTTGTTTCTAGTCTTGTTCCTTCACTTTTGTTTGTAGATATCTTTCGCCCTTTTGTAGGCTACAAAGAAGTGAGACTTGTAACCAAGGAATCGAGACATGTAAGTTATTTTGTTATAATTCGAAGTGCAAATTTGATATTTAGTATTTGATCAGTAATTTACTTACCATTAGTTTATGCAGGTTGGGGGTGATCCACTGGTACTTTGTTTTGTTGATTTTCAGAGTCCAGCCCATGCAGCTACTGCTTTGGACGCCTTGCAAGGTAAAGCTTGAACAAGCATATTTCTTTCCTTCAGAGTTGTAGGGATATTATAGCATGTAAAAATTGCTTACATGATTTGTCTCTTATCTATTCTGTTCTTGTTTATATCGCTAGTGGAGAAGGTATATTGAAGCAAACAAAAAATACCAGGTAATAGGGACCAGTACCAATTTGATGGCTGTCCATTTTATGTTTGGAGTGGGATGGGGTTGGAATTCACTCCCTTGAGATTTACTGTGAAAAATTGTCCGCCAAGAGTGTGGCTCTAGTGTGGCGCTGACCTTAGCTAGTATAAGTACGCTTAGCTTGACTTTAGCTATTATTTTTTGTGTGATTGCCAAATGAGAATGTGTAATGACCATCTTTAGCTGAAATGTGGTGGTAGTTATGGAGGCATGTATTGATTTTTTCAGAATAATTAGTTTGAAACGCGATGGTGAGTATTAGGACATGCAGTGTGTTATGTTTGAGTAACTCTAGATGTCCTGAAGACTTTCTTCCCCTTCCTTTTTATGGCTAAGGACAGTTCTCCTGTAGTTCTGGAAACCACTCCTTCCTAGTACTGACAGATTTTGTTTATCAGAAAAGCTGCTTTTGCCATATGATTCCTTCTATATTCTTTATAACTATGGCTAGAGGATAGCATGCTCAAAATTGGAGGAGTAGGTGATTTGGATGCCACAAATTAGTTGGTAGCTTAGGAACTTGCATTTTGGAGAGACTTGACGAGTTAAGTAGGTATTATTGGTATGGACACATTGACAGATTATGTGGAATTTTGTTTGGTTTAAACTTTGGAGACATGCCTCTCTAGAAATAATATTCACGAGCAATGATTCTCTCTCTCTCTCTCTCTCTCTCTATATATATATATATATATATATATATATATATATATAGGCAGTTGTTAAAATTTTAACCCTTCACCTCCACCCGCCCACCTACCTCCACCCCTTTGGATGCTCTTCCAACGCCCATGATAGTTTTGGTATCTTCACTCAATTGCCTTTTGTAGACCTGTGGGTCACAGTTGGAGTTAGTGTGTTGGTGAAGACCTAGGAAGCACGGATACTTCTAGGAGAGCAACGTACCCGTATCGGATATGTGTTGGGTACAGATACTCGACGGATACTCTCGGATGCGTGTCCGATACTTCTTAAACGTATCTATAATTTTAAAATACATTTTTTAATTCTAACACGTATCCGATACTTAGGTATTTCCACTGCGTATCCAACACTTTTCGGATACTTCATAACACATTTTAAACAAGTTTGAACATTAAAATGCAACTTATTCAACAATAATAACATAGTATAATTGTTTAAAAAAGTTCAAATTTTATTAAGTGATGACTAGGGATGCTTGTTTTATGTGTTGTGAAACGAACTTCTATTTATATTAATGATTGCATTTAGATTCATAATATTTTTAAAAAATTGACCAAAAATTAATTTATATATATATAAATAAGATTTATTAATTTTTTATTGCCATATCCTACTGTACCCGTATCCTTTTTTTTTTTTTTGAGATTTGCTGTATTGCCATACCCGTATTGTGTCGTATCCGTATCCCGTATCCGTATCCGTATCTGTGCTTCCTAGGTGAAGACCCAAACTAATTTTCACAAGCTAGCATGTTTAAAAGGTTAATAATTTGTTTCTTGAGTTGCACTTGCAGCCATTGTGGCCATCTTCATTTGTATTTTCTATGTTTCTTGGACATATTTGGCTCTTAGCTCTTTTCGTGCACTTCTTTGTGGTGCAATTTTGGTGCTTTTCTTCTCTCCTTCATCAGTATACTCTTTAAGAGCTTCTTTGAAAGTGCCTGCGTATGTACATGTGAAGATCTTCTAATGCTCCATTTGGTTGGAAGGAGGGGAGTGGGGTGGAAGGAAGATATAAAGGAAGCGGTGGGCTGCCTTCGTTTGGTAGAGAGGAGACAAGTAGAGTAGGGAAGAATCAATGGGTGAGCCATCCTTCTTGGCACTCAAAATTTTATTCCCTCCAAAAGTGTACAGAACATAGAAAGGAAGGGAAACATAGTTATAAATTGACAATTCCACTCTTCATAATGGTTAGAGATAAACTAGTACTTGTGTATTAGTTTAATAACGAGGGTATACTGGTAAAATATATATATATATATGTATATATATGTAATCCGTCATTCCTTTCCTTTTATCCAAACAAATGTTTCAACCCACCATCCTTTCTACTATCCCTTTGATGTAGGCTCAAATAGAAGAAAGCAAATAAGAGTTATGGGCTGGTAATTCAGAAACAAAGCTAAGATTCAGGGGTTGTTAGTAGAAAAGAAGGATTGAAAATAACAAAGAAAAGCCTATTGGAATCACTCCAATAGGACCTAGGTATCACACCTAGAGAAGGCCTTTGTGAATCACTCAGATAATTTTGTTCAATCATTCGCTGAGTATTCAGAGTTTTACATAGTATCCTTTTTATAATAAAAGATGACCCTTGGATTACCTTACAATGGAGGTAATCAAAAGTTGACTCTAACTTAATAAAGTAACAAATAACTTAATTGATGCAATTTAATCTAATTATGCAATTTACCAAAACAATGCATATTTTCCATAATTAATGCAATTACCAAAATAATGAAATTTGACCAAACCCCCTAATAATGCAATTTACCAAAATGATGCAGATTCACCATAATTAATGCAAGTACCAAACTAATGCAATTTTGACCAAACCCCCTAATTATGCGAGACTCCAAGTGGACCCCATCATCTAGCATGTGCCAAATAAAGGTTTGAGCTCTAGAATCCTTCTTGCCATGCCTTTTAAATACTTTAAAAGGTTAATGCCACTGTTCTCTACCAATTCTCTCCGGCTTGGAAAAACTCGGCTCCGACGAGTTAAAGGGATGAAATTGCTCATAAGTATGAAAAGAGCTAGAAAATTTCGGCCTTGTATTCAGCAATTTCCATAATTTGCACCAAAAAAACAATGCATAAACTTCAAAGCTCGATCAGAAATAATAGTGTTGTGCAACCCATGAAGTCGGACAACTTCTTGAAAAAAAGGTTTGGCATTGTGGACAGCATTAGAGGTCATAGAACATAGAAGAAAATGCGCCTTTTTCGAAAAAAGATCCAGAACAATGGTTATAGCATCATGTCCTCGACTAGTTCTAGGTAACACCATTACAAAATTAGCATCTGACCCATCACCTCTGATACGAACTCCATGGCCAGTACCATGTCGAAACTCAAGGCTATCCTTCCACGAATGTATTCGAGCAAGAACATAAAGAGCAAACCAGTTGGTTCCATCTAGGTACTGTGCTCCAGAATCGAATAGACAAATGCTGTTTGGATCAAGTCCTAAACATGTTTTCTCTAGTTTATAATGCATAATTGCTGCATTAGGACCAACTGAGGAAATATTAGGAAAACTTAACCCTCTAAAATGATCTTTTGATGTGCGAGACCCCTCTAGCTTATCACTTACAGGATAAGTTTCTTCTGGCAGTTGGTTTTTCCAGACCTCATCTACCAAGTTGGTGGATATCTGAACCAGCTTCTGTTGCTTCTTGGCACAAGCATGCTCCCATTTCTTTGCAGTGCCCACTAATATACACCAAGTATCTACTCCAATAGCTGCGTCTTTTGGAAGATTCAGAATAGAAGTACTATCTATCCAAGACGTTTTGAATGGTTGTGGATATGGTTTGATGGAAATTTTGAGATGCCTAACCATGCTTGTGGAGACAACATTTGGGCTGCCACCGCCATCAATAGTAGGCTTCTGAGCTTGATTTTCACAATGAACTTGCGCCTCAAAATGAGAGGTCTGCTGCCCATCTTTGCCACCAACTTTAGGGTCTTCAAGGATGCGCGTTACAACAGAGATGGACTAAACAATCTCTCCAACTTCTTTCACATGATCAATGTTGCAGGTCTCATCATCAAGCAGGTTCTCACAATCCTTGCTAACCATATTACTCTTTCCTTCAGGATCAGCCATGTCAGATAAAGATGGTTTCGATCCATCATTTGGCTGCATTGTTGTTGTTTGTGTGCGGTGAGTTCCATCACGTAACTTCTTTGTAATATCTCCAGTAACATCATGTGGCTCATGATGATTCATCTCTAATGGATTTCTTGGAAACTCCAACACGGGATGGAGTGGTGGATCAACCTTCAAATTACACCTTTGCAGAGAGTGTAAAGGCTGTTGTTGCTTGCGGTTTCTGCCATCATTAGTACCCAATGCATATTCTTCTTTAAAGGCTACCAATTTGTTAAAAGGCTGGGAAATTCGAGCCCCTATCCTATTGCATTGAGCATTCAGCCCTTTAAGCTTTTCCAAAATTTGTAACAGCAACTCAGTCTTCTGATTATTGTCCAATCTTTCATTGGCTGATTGAGTAATCATAATGTCTACTTAGGCTTTGATACCAAAACTGATGTAGGACAAAGGACATACTCAAATAGAAGAAAGTAAATAAGAGTTATGGGCTGGAAATTCAGAAACAAAGCTAAGATTCAGGGGTTGTTAGTAGAAAAGAAGGATTGAAAATAACAAAGCAAAGCCTATTGGAATCACTCCAATAGGACCTAGGTATCACACCTAGAGAAGGCCTTTGTGAATCACTCACAAAGAAATCTCAATGGATAATTTTATTCAATCATTCGCTGAGTATTCAGAGTTACATAGTAACCTTTTTATAATAAAAGATGACCCTTGGATTACCCTACAATGGAGGTAATCAAAAGTTGACTCTAAGTTAATAAAGTAACAAATAACTTAATTGATGCAATTTAATCTAATTATGCAATTTACCAAAACAATGCAGATTTTCCATAATTAATGCAATTACCAAAATAATGAAATTTGACCAAACCCCCTAATGATGCAATTTACCAAAATGATTCAGATTCACCATAATTAATGCAATTACCAAACTAATGCAATTTGACCAAACCCCTTAATTATGCAAGACTCCAAGTGGACCCCATCGTCTAGCATGTGCCAAATAAAGGTTTGAGCTCTAGAATCCTTCTTGCCATGCCTTTTAAATACTTTAAAAGGCTGATGCCACTGTTCTCTACCACCCTTCCATTCAACCAAAAGAAAAAGTGAGGAAGACACTCTCTCTTCCCTGGGGATGCCTCATCCATCTTTCCCGTTCTTCCCTTCATCCATTTTTCCGTCTCTCCTGCCAAATGGAGCGTAACTGTATTAACGTGATGAAAGTGATCAATATTACATAAATTTCTTATTCATGTGTGTATACTTACTTATATACTATGTTTATATGGATATATATAGAATGCACATGCATTTGTATATGTTTATGCATACGCATATGGGTACAATTTCAATCAGAGGTTGTAGAAATCTTGGAGGATTGTTGACATACCAGGAACACTGATATGATATTTTGCAATGTGCAATGTAAAATGTAAAGGACATGCATGGAGAAAATTTAAACTAAGAAACACGGTATATATATATATATATATATATATATATATAGGGAGTTGTTATTGGCGCTCCAAAATTGTACGCAAGTGCCTCATTTTTATATATTTATAAATCAAATGACAATAAGTAACCCTCAACTATCCGAATAGGTCTCCATCTCTTTTCTTTCTATCTTTGTTTGCTTGCGTTTTTATTCCAACTGAATCATGAAGACCTACCATCAAATTACTCTCGTTTCCATCTCTTTTCTTTCTCTTTTGTAGGCTTCCTTTTTTACTCCAACTGAATCACGAACACCTACCATTTACAAATATCTATTTAGCAAATATTAGTTATTTTGTGTACAATGGCGAATGGAAATATGCATAATTCAGCAAACCATATTGTCACTTAGCCTTTTATGGTAAAAATTTGGGATTAGATTGAAAATAAATTAATAAATTAAGAACATGGAGTGTCTATTTCTTTCAAGAGAAGAAGCTATCAAAGTTGGGAAAAGCTATACTTGCCACACACTCACAACAAAAAAAAAATGAAAAAAAAAAGAAAAGAAAAAAAAAAGAAGAAGATGAAAAGCTATCGAAGAAAGGAAACTACTTTTAGGGACACACACTGTTTATGATTATAGCCTTTGAGGTTTCTACTAGGACATGTTTGTCTTGTTGTCCTCATTTTTATCGTCAACATTGTCTGAATAATTTTGTTTTTATCTCCATTCTTTCTCTGTTACGGGTTCTTTTTCACCTTACCTCTGTATTGCTCTGAGGGCAATCTAGATGGTAGGGAGAGGAGAGAAAAGAGTGAAATAGAGAAACAAAAGAGACAATAGATGAAGAGTAAGCTGAGAGAGTCCTACCAAAGAGGAGAGAGAAAAAAGCTAGAGAACTGTATGGGAACAATTTAGGGTTGTTTTTGTCATTTAGTTATAAAGATACAGAAGTGGAGCGTCTTAGTATAATTTTGGAGCATGAATATCAGCTCCCTATATAGATATATATGCGTGTTTGTGCTTGTATATATACAATATTGAAATTTCATATGGACTTTCAGGCATGACCATCACTCTAGTAAATGTTGCACAGATTGAAAATTTTCATTTTGGAAGTCCTTGAGCTTCCACTGTATCTCAAATACAATGTCGCCCCATATCTTCAGAAGTTCTCAAAATCTTAAAATATCAACCGTGATGGATGGTGGCCCAAATCCTTCGTGTAAATAATCAGTTTGGATAGCCTAAAAAGTGTGTTTCTGATTTACACATTGCAGACCAAGAAATAGGATGCTTGGGGTAGTGTAGGCTTCTCAGATCAGATCTCTAGTTGCTGATGCTGGTTTGTGATGGTTTGAGTTTGACCACAGTGCTGTCAATATCATCATCACTATTTTAGCCACACATTTTTTGCTTGTTTTTCCTTTCAACCAAAGAGACTAATTAAAGTGAACCGGAAGACAGGTGGAGCAGAACCGTTCAGCGTATCAGAGACTACACCTCAAGATATGTTTGAATCCAATGGGTTCTGACATGGAACTTATCGTGATTGGACAGTCTCTTATTTTTATCCCATTGCCCTTATTTCTAAATAGTGGGGACCTGCTATTATGACTTAAGTGTATTAGAAAGTGACTGACCATATTGTCCGTGTGAGTTTATCTATTCAATTTGAAGTGAAAATTGCAAGTCTAACATTAACCTGTTTGCTGATACCCCTTTGACGTTCGAAATGTGTTGCACAGCATAAATTAGTCGAACTCAATTTTGCAGGTTATAAATTCGATGAGCATGACCGTGACTCGGTCAATTTAAGGCTGCAATTTGCTCGCTATCCTGGTGCGAGGTCTGGTGGCCCACATCGTGGCAAACGTTGAATTATGCAGTTTTACAGGTGACAGTTGCCTCTACCATTTGCTCGTGCCCATATCTATTAATGGCCATTAGGTTCTTGAAAAAGAGTCTTATCATACAACAATGAACCAAACTAAAATTATTGAATGGCGCTTCTGTGTAGGACCCACTCGAGTCGGGAGATTCACGATAGCGAGGGATGTTACAACCACCTTGCAGTTTCAAGAATTACATACCTCGCTGAATGGGAGCTTTCATTAGGACAAGCATGAATCGGGTGGGCTTTTGATATTGAGGGACGACAACTCGAGTTTTAAAGAATACTGACTTTTCTATTTGCTTTATACTTCTGTTTTATACAGTTTCACTAGACTCGCTTATTATTAAATTTTATCTCGAGTTGAATCTAGAAAAGAATGTTTCTGCTTTTGTCTATGTCTAGAGATTAGGATTTTTGTGTCTGAAATACTGAGTAATTCGAGAATAGTGGTGGAAGCGGTGGGTAGTGATTTGTATTTTATTCTAATTTGTTATTAATTTTTCTAAGATTTTCTTTAGCTTCATAAACAACATCATCCCTCCTTGGCCTTTATTTTAATTTTTAACTTAGGTTTTCTTAATACAACATACAGCAGCTATTTCATATCTTTCAGTTGGTTAAATTTATATTTCTGTTTTCTGATTTTTCTTAAAAGTATCCATAGTTTTACAAAAACTTGTTTTTGTAAAAAATTATTTCGAATTTGATTTTCTACCTTCGACTATTAGCAGTTGAGTACTTGCATATTTTCGTGGTTTTATATGCTTGAGGGATGTGTTACGGTTCTTTAGGATTAGAAATGCCAGTTAAACTTATGCTATGTAAAAGATTCCAACATTGCATAGCATCCGTAGTTTGAGGAATGAAATCAATAAATTTCATTTTCGAAAACAAAATTTTATTGTACTGGAGTTTCTGGAAAGTGTTTCTTACGCCTTCTTACGTCTTAAATGTATTATGATGAAGGCTTGTGACCTTGTGTTTGTCTTGCAAGCTCTAGATGTCAACACGGTTTCTTCTTTTACCACTAGCTGTCAGCTCGAGTGGGAATTGACTGCATGCTGAGAAAGAGGAAGTGCGGGGTTGAAGTCTTAGTTGGGGACATGGGTGCTTCTGCATTACTTGTAAAAGAAAAATAAAAAAAATAAAAAAAATATACAACACTCTTTCTGAAATTGGTGAATCAGCTTGGTTTCATGAATGGGTATTTTGTTCAAATCGCTTTGCGTTGTGGGTGCCACCCTGCTAATTGCTCTTTTTTTGACTATAATTGGTTCAGTCGAATCATATAGAAAGACCCGTTACCTCTTGTCATTAAAGCTGCTGTTGAATCTTTATGTTAATAGACTTTATAGTTGTGTATCATTAAATGGTTCATCGCAAATATGTCAGAGCTGCTGTTGAATCTTTATGTTAATAGACTTTATAGTTGTGTATCATCAAATGATTCATCGCAAATATGTCGGAGCTGCTGTTGAATCTTAATGTTAATAGACTTTCTAGTTGTGTATCATTAAATGATGATCATTTTGGACTTGAACTAGGCTTGAATTTTTGGACTTTTGTAGCTTGAGGAAGAGCTCTCCGTTAATATTTACATTGCATTGCAATCTTGTAGATTGTTGTGATGAAAATAATCATCTCTATTCTTAGGCCACATCTGTCTACACAAAAGTTAGGGTTGGGTTGGGTTGGGTTTGTTTTGTATTTGAGCATGGCGAGAAACCTTCAGATTGAACAAACACAGTTGGTTTGTGCATGTGAAGATGGCTTATTAGGTTAAAGTGTTGTGAGTTGTATGTTGTTATATGTTAGTAGAAAATAGAAGTAGAAGCGGTGATAAGCCCTTAGAGGCAACTTTTGGTTTTAACGTATTCTACATAGATATGACGTTTTGGAACAGCTTAGAGTGTGGTGCGCCATATATTATGATATGGATAGGAACAGTAGTAGTACAGGGGAGGACATGAATGATGATTTTTATTGGAATGCTACTTTTAGTGTTGTAGTGAGTTGATGGCTATCTCTTAAGAATGAGAAGAAGCATGCGCATAAAGGAATGAATGAATGGCGGTGGAGGATTTGTATCCCCTCATTTTGCATGGTCCGTCCATACATTGCACATTGTATTTGCTTTGTGCGGTTTCTCTCTCTCACAGAAAATGTTCCCCCACCACCCAACACAAAGTTAGGTCATCATTGATTTTTTATTTTTTCGTATTAATTTCCGTTTACTACTTTTAGTTGATCCTTTTGTCATTCTATTAAAAATTGATACAGTCGTCGGTATTACCTACTCTTGAGAAGTTGTCACGCAATTTGTAACTTACATCAAAATAAAATAAAAGAAAAGGTTTTTTTTTAGTTAAAAGATAAATAAAATAAAAGGTTCAAAACAAGTTCTTGTACACAATTTGCATGTTTGTATATCTACATCTATATTTATACTATTATTAAATGTGCAAAGTGTTTCAGTATTTTAGTATTTATTTATTAATTGATATAAATTCTATAAAACTCAAAATTACCTAATAAAATTAAAATTAATTCAATTAACAAAACATAAAAAGAGTTTAATTTAAATTACAAAGTCCCACATTGGTTTTAAATAAAAAAGATTACATGAAAATCTCTTATAAAACTATAGAGTTACAAAAATAATAATGACACCTTCTCGGCCTTTTGGCTAAGATCAAGTGTAGTACTACATTTTTTTGGGTCGGCCTTTTAGCTAACCTTTCTTGGTTTTTTGGCTAAGATCAAGTTCAGTATTTAAGTATTTATTTATTAATTGATATAAATTCTATAAAACTCAAAATTACCTAATAAAATTAAAATTAATAAAATATATAAAGAGTTTAATTCAAATTACAAAGTCCCATATTGGTTTTAAGTAAAAGGATTACATGAAAGCCTCTTATAAAACTATGGAGTTAAAAAAAATAATAATCACACCTTCTCGCCTTTTGGCTAAGATCAAATATAATATTAATTTTTTTTGAGTCGGCCATTTGGCTAACCTTTCTTGGTCTTTTGGCTAAGACCAGAGCCTAGCAGGTCACTGTAACGGCCGAACCTTCCCGATGGATCAATCTCAGTGTAGTACTACTTTCTCGGCCTTTGTGCAAAGAGTTTCAGTATTTATTTATTAATTAATATAAATTCTATAAAACTCAAAATTACGTAATAAAATTTAAATTAATTCAAATTAACAAAATATAAAAAGAGTTTAATTCACAATAAAGAGCTCTCATTAATTATTATATTCCACGATATATAGAATAGTATTTCAATATTTAAATTACCTAATAAAATTAAAATTAATTCAAACTAACAAAATCTAAAAAATGTTTAATTCAAATTACAAAGTTCCACATTGTTTTTAAGTAAAAAAGATTACATGAAAACCTCTTATAAAATTATAGAGCTAAATAATAATCACACCTTTTCGGCCTTTTGGCTAAGATCAAGTGTAGTACTAAATTTTTTTGGGTTGGCCTTTTGGCTAACCTTTCTTGGTTTTTTTGACTAAGATCAAGTTCAGTATTTAAGTATTTATTTATTAATTGATATAAATTCTATAAAACTCAAAATTACAAAATTAATTAAAATTAACAAAATATAAAAAGACTTTAATTCAAATTACAAAGTCCCACATTAGTTTTAAGTAAAAAGGATTATATGAAAGCCTCTTATAAAATTATAGAGTTAAATAAATAATAATCACACCTTCTTGCCTTTTGGCTAAGATTAAGTGTAGTATTAAATTTTTTTGGGTCGGCCTTTTGGCTAACCTTTCTTGATCTTTTGGCTAAGATTAAGTGTAGTATTAAATTTTTTTGGGTCGGCCTTTTGGTTAACCTTTCTTGGTTTTTTGGCTAAGATCAGTGTAGTATTACTTTTTCGGCCTTTGTGCAAAGAGTTTCAGTATTTATTTATTAATTAATATAAATTATATAAAACTCAAAATTACCTAATAAAATTCAAATTAATTCAAATTAACAAAATATAAAAAGAGTTTAATTCACAATAAAGAGGCTCTCATTAATTATTATATCCCACGATATATAGAATAGTATTTCAATATTTAAATTACCTAATAAAATTAAAATTAATTCAAATTATCAAAATATAAAAAAAGTTTAATTCAAATTGCAAAATCCCACATTGGTTTTAAGTAAAAAAGATTACATGAAAGCCTCTTATAAAATTATAGAGCTAAAGAAATAATAATCACACCTTCTCGACCTTTTGGCTAAGATCAAGTGTAGTACTAAATTTTTTTGGGCGGCCTTTTGGCTAACCTTTCTTGGTCTTGGTCTTTTGGCTAATATCAAGTGTAGTAATACTTTCTCGGCCCTTATGCAAAGAGTTTCAGTATTAATTTATTAATTGAAATAAAATCTACATAATAAAATTTAAATTAACCTATTTATCTATTTATTATTATGAATTTTTTAATAAACGAAAATCTAATTAGACAAAATTATTAATATAAAAAATATTTATTAATTGATATATAAAATTAAATAATTTTTGTAAAACTCTACCACAAATTAGCTTTTATTATGATTTTTTAATAAAATTAAATCTAATTTGACAAAGATATATTTAAAGAAAATAAAATAATTTCTATAAAACTCTATTACAAATTACCTATTATATTTTCAATAAAACTCTATCAACAAAGATATATTTAAAGAGTTTCTATAAAACTCTAACACAAATTACCTATTTATTTATTTATTATAAGTTTTTTAATAAATGGAAACCTAATTAGACAAGAATTATTAAAATAAAAAGCATTTATTAATTGATATAAAAAGAGTTTATATTAAACTCTAACACAAATTACCTATTTATTAATTTATTATAAGTTTTTTAATAAAAGAAAATCTAATAAGACAAGAATTGTTAATATAAAAAATATTTTTTAATTGATATAAAAAATAAAATAATTTTTCTAAAATTCTACAACAAATTACTTTTATTATGAGTTTTTTTAATAAAAGTTAATCTAATTCGACAAGAATTATTAAAATATAAAAATATTTATTAATTCATATAAAAAAAGTTTTAAAAATATTTTCTATAACACTATAACGCGTATTACATATTACAATTTTTTAATAAAATAAAATATAATTTTCAGAATAAAATACAGAAACTCTACCAAAGTGTTTCAGTATTTATTTATTTATATAAAAAAATATTTATTAATTGATATAAAAAGAGTTTTTATCTGTACTACTATTAAATGTTCAAAGAGTTTCAGTATTTAAGTATTTATTTATATTAAAATTATTTATTAATTGATGTGAAAAGTGTTTTTCTAAATAAAATAAAATAAAAAATTCTATCGAACTCCAAAATCTATCTAATAAAATTTAAATTAACCTATTTATCTTTTTATAATTATGAATTTTTTAATAAAAAAAAATTAATTAGACAAGAATTATTAATATAAAAAATATTTATTAATTGATATATAAAATAAAATAATTTTTGTAAAATACCGCAAATTAACTTTTATTATGAGTTTCTTAATAAAATTAAATCTAATTAGACAATGATATATTTAAAGAAAATAAAATATTAAATGTGTAAAAAGTTTCAGTATTTCAGTATTTATTTATTTATATAAAAAATATTTATTAATTGATATGAAAAAAGTTTTTATAAAAAAAAAATAAATAAACAGAAGAAAAAAAACTCTATAAAACTCTAAAATCTACCTAATAAAATTAAAATTAACTTATTTATTAATTTATAATTATAAATATTTTAATAAAAATAAATTTAAAGTTTTCGTATTTATTTATTTATTTTAAAAATATTTATAAACTACCTCAATGTGAAAAATGCCAAATCTAATAATTTTCAAATAATTTTGGTGCCACCTGTCTTGTCTGTCGAAGCTTTTGGCAACAGGGTTTGGAGGCGGCCTTTCCAATTTCCAAATGACCAAATCATTAAGGGTCAGTTTGGTAGGATGGGTTTGAAGGGAAAGGGAAGGGAAGGGGATGGAGGGTAATAAAAAAGTTGTGTTTGGGTAAAGTTAGTGGAGGGAAAGGGAAGGAGAGGGAGGGGTTTGGAGGGTTATTTATAAGAAGGCCTACAGTAATTTCTTAACCTTTCATAATTGGGATGATAAGGAAGGAAAGGGAAGGGAATGGCAAGCAATGGCTATCAAAATATTTGTTAGGCCAATTTTACCCTCAAATTTGCTCTTCATATTTGTTAGGGCCCTGTCTTCAGCGCGGGAACAAAGGAAGGCGCGGGAACAAAGGCGCCAAAATTCACTGGTATAAGAAGAAACAGGAGAGAGAAAAGGGGGAAGTGGGTTCACTGCATGGTCTCTGTGCAGGAGTAGGAAGTTGATGATAGAGATAGAAGGGAAAGCGTCACTGTTAAATTCATTGGTTTACAAACACCGGCTTTGGAGCTACGCAAACCGTTCGAAAATTCATCTGAATTCATCATCTTCTTGGAGTATTGGATGTTCAGGTGTGTTTCTTCAATCCATCTAAGTTTTCCTCTTTATCCGTATACAGTTGGAGATTTGTTATATTCTACGGAAAAAAATTCCTGCGATTATCTTTAATTATGTCGATGGTTTTCTTGTGAACTCTGTAATTTTGTGGGTTTCTCTCTTTTATCTTTTTGTTATAGTTTCTCTCTTGTGAACTCTGTAATTTTGTGCGATTATCTTTAATTAATGTGAATTTAGAAAGAAAAAAAAAAACACACACACACACACACAGACTTGATAATCCTTATTCTGTAGGGGGGAGAACTCACATGGCAAACTGTAATAACCCCACTAATATGCAGTCCCAGTGCCTTTTGACATAAATTTAGTCCTTGCAAAGTTTTGTTCCTATTTCCTGAGGGATTTAAAAGCAACTAGGAAACTTGAGAAGAAAAAAAATGCATATTCTGTTTTTATTTCACGCCCTGGTCAGGTGTTATGAAGTTGTAGTGGGCGATTATGGACATGAAATATTATGAAAAACAGCATGCCATAATGAGAATGTCATTGATACAGTCCGAATTATGTCTTATTATGGTCATTATTTGAAATATTGCAACTAGATTTTTGTTGCAATACCAACATAATCAATTTGTTTATGTCTGATCATAAGTGTCATATAATTATCATAGGTTATGTTTGGGTGGGTATTCTTATATATATATACTATCAGAACATCATATATTTGTTGAGTGTGTCTTATACCCTTATTTTATTAATCTACACTTATTGAATTTTGAGGGTGACAACAAGTCTTGAAATGGTAGATGGAGAGGCGAAATAATATGGCAACAAATGAATGGTTTTTGTGGGAACAAAGAAGGCGTTTGGCTGCAACTCAAGTTATTTGTTTGGTTGTGTATTGGCTTTTACGGAAAAAGTTTCAAAGGAGAAACTATGTTAATCGACTCACTGGACAATCAACTTTTGAAAGAGAAATGGTACGAAATGAACTTATGAACCAACTTAGGACAAATCAAAGATGTCGTGATATAACTCAAATGGGACCAGAGGCTTTCCAAAATTTATGTGAGATTCTTAAAAGGGATGCTGGTCTTAAGGCAACAAAAAATGCATCAGTTGAAGAACAAGTTGCAAAATTTCTTCACATATTATCACACAATGTGAGGAATCGCACGATTCAGTTTTTTTTTCGTCGCTCCGGTGAAACTACAAGTCGCCATTTCCTTAGTGTGTTAAGGTCAATAATCTCGTTAGAAGAAAAATTTCTCCGACAGCCTAATGGTTTACAAATCCCTCCGGAGATACTTAGCAATAGTAGGTTCTATCCATACTTCAAGGTAAAATTATAATTTTATTTTAAAATTTTTATACATATGTTGATATAAAAAATTTATAAAATAAATTTATATCAGAATTGTGTGGGTGCGATTGATGGAACACATGTTCGTGTGAGAGTACCTACTGAAGACGCTCCAAGATATCGTGGTCGAAAGAATTTTCCAACCACAAATGTGTTAGCTGCTTGTTCATTTGACTTGAGATTCACATATGTCTTGCCTGGATGGGAAGGGACTGCATCAGACTCGAGAGTAATTAAGAGTGCATTTGAAAGAAAGGATAAGTTGAGAATCCCTAAAGGTAATTTCTATATAAAATTTATAAAATATTATTTTCTGATTTATAGTTATTCAATAATAACAACTTTTATTGTTAATAGGTAAATATTATCTTGTTGATGGTGGATATATGCTACGAGGTGGACTTATCACGCCTTATAGAGGTGTTCGATATCACTTGAAAGAATTTGCTTCACATCGACCTGAAAATCCTCGGGAATTGTTTAACTTACGACATGCGTCGTTACGTAATGCGATCGAGAGAGCATTTGGTGTATTAAAGAAACGATTTCCAATTATAGGAAGCACAACTGAGCCCACTTACTCAATCGAAACACAAACAGAGATTATCCTTGCATGTTGCATTCTGCATAATTATTTAATGGGCGTTGATCCTGATGAAAGACATATTGATGAAGTAGATCGGGAACTCTTAAACCAAGTTGAAGTTCAAGTTGAAGATGAAGATGAAGATGAAGATGTAGATGATGATCGAACTCCAAGGGATATTGTTGAAGGAGAACATATAAGGGACATCATTGCAATGAACATGTGGAATGACTATGTAGCAAATCAAATGTGACTAATGTTATGTGTGTTATAAGTCTAAATCTTTTGCTTGTTTGATAAATGCTTAAAACCCTAGTTTTATTTATTTTCTCTTATGACAAGTACTTGGTCTTTACTAAGACTTTATTGGTAGCTCAAGTTTGATTTGATGATATATTGTTAAAGAAGAAAAAGCATAGTCTTTGATTCTTATATTACTCATGTTAATTTGTTTGTCATGATGTTATTATTATTATTATTATTATTTTTGTTGGTCACACTCTATTTTGAAATTTTACATTAGATTCTACTCATTTGCTAATTTCTTATGTAGATAAGAAAATGAGTAACACAACAAACAAAAATGAAGGGAACAAGAAAGATAGGTTTGTTTGGACGCAACAAATGGAAGATGCATTCATTGATGTGCTGTATTACCAACATATTAAAGGGAATAGGGTTGATGGAACTTTTACTAGTAAAGCATATGATGAAATGGTTAAAGAATTGTGTGCAAAACTTGAAATGGATTTTACCAAAGATAGGATTAAGAATCGATTGAAGACTATAAAGACTCATTTCAATGAGTGGTATGACCTGTTTAAGAATGGATTGAGCGGATTTGCTTGGAGTCGTGAGACAAAGATGTGGAGTGCGGAGCCAGAGGTTTGGAATTCAATGATTGAGGTACTATTTTTTTTTTTTATTAATTTAGAGTTATTTTTACTATTAAAGTATGTTTAAGGCCTAATTCATATGGAAACTCTTGAAATGTTTTTTCTATGTTGTTCTAGTGTCGTTGTTTTACCCAAAGAATGTTTTACACTATGAAATGTTTAGCATATATATATATATTTTTATATGCTTGTAATAGGCAAAACCGCAAGCGGAGAAATGGAGAACTACACCTATTAACAACTATGATAAGTTGCTAGAGTTGTTTGCAAAAGATAGAGCGACGGGTGATGAGGCTGCAACTGCTAAGGAGAAACGTTTTCAATGGGCTAGCTCAACCAATGACGAGTTAATGGGAAGTATTGATGGTATTGATCAGCTAGTAGCAGAAAATGAGGTGACTTTGGAAAATGTTGAGCATGTGGCTGATGAGATTGAAAGGACAATGTCCCCTAAGGCAACTTCTATTGCATCTTCAAGTGCAAAAGGAAAGAGGAAACGGTCTTCACGTGGTGTCTCTAATGATACCCAAGACATAGCAAATGCAATTTCCTCTGTTGCAGAATCTATTAAAGAGAGAAATGCTCTTTATGAAAAATATAATCGTAAGGTGCATTCGGAGGAGGAAATCTATAATGAGCTAGAATCAATTGGACTTGAGCCATTTTTAATTGATGATGCTTACTTTTATCTCGCTAACCATCCTGATCAAACGAGGATATTCCTTGGTGTTCCAGTTGCAAAGCGTAAGAATATTTTGGAGAAAATGATGTATGGTTCAACATGATGGTGATTGATGATGGGTAGTCTTTCTTTTTGTTGGGTATAGGTTCCTTTTTTGAGAAACACTTCTGGGAATGCAATGAATTCCTTTTTTGTTGGTGAAACTTTGTGTTGCTATATTACGGAAAAAGTATGTATTGGAAACCTTTTACAATGATGTAAATCTAGGAACTTGACTATGATGTAATTATTATTATCTACTCTTTTGGTTATGGAATTTTATAATGATTATATTTCTGGTCTCTTGGTTTTATTTAGCAGGTGATGTTTGTGGTTATTGAGGTTTCTTTTGTTGATTGCGTAGCATTCATTTTCCTTTGAAATTGCAGTTGTGTTAGTGGTTATCAAAGCAGAGTGAAATAGATTTCTTTGCTTCGAATTACAGCATATACTACTGATGCTATACTTAAATTTCAGTTTCAATATATTGATGCTATACTTATTTTTCAAATTCAATATATTGATGCTATACTTAAGGTTGTCAACCCCAATTATGAGAAATTAGTCACCTCCCTTCAACTACCATACAGGCCGCAACAGCCAAATCATAGTAAGAACTGCATCATGTGAGAACCACATGAGGACTACATTATCCAACCCTGAACTTGATCAATATAATGAAAAAAATGATGGATGCACTCTCATTTTTTTTTTTTCCTCACTAAAATTAAATGACAAAAATATTCTTTATACTCTGATTAATTAAAATGTTATTGTTGTAATTTCATATTCAAGTGCAGTGTATTAGCTAGAGTACATTTATCACCTCCCAACATTAAATTCAGAAGATGATGATATCACATATGAAGCTCAAACTGCAAAATCTGGTAAAATATTAACAAATGAGAATGGAGATTTCAAATGGTTCCATTTGTAGAAGAAAAAAACCGAAATGACATAGAAAAAAAAGGAAACAACAATATTTGAATTTAACTGTATTAGAATAAACTGAGTGTTAACAGTGATGTTTAATTTGCATCTTTAGAAATGCATAACAGACTAATTGTAAAAATTCTCAATGTCTATACTCTCAGGATCTTCCACTGCAGACAATAGAGCCGGCTCCACAAAAAGGAAGAGCCGGCTCTATTGTTTTCCCTAAATTGGAGCTCTCGGCATCTCCAAGAAGAGCCGCCTCTAGAAATAAGTTGAGCCGGCTCCTTTATTGGCCTGCATACACCAACTCTCGGGATTTCTCAAATGCCCAAGAGAGCCGGCTCCAGCAATTAGTTGAGGCGGCTCCAAAAAAAATGTGGAGCCGGCTCTACAAAAAGGAAGAGCCGGCTCCACTCGGCACCTCTCAATCATTCACATATTCCGCTCCTTTTCGCGGGCTGTGTCCTCACTCTCCTTACATGCATGATGGGTATGCATGTAAGAGCATGGGAGTGGGGAAGGAAGGGATCAGAGTACTGGATACATGATATTAAAAGGCAATGATGTGTTGCAGCTGCTAAGTATGTATACTTGTTTAAATTTCAAAGAGGTAGGGTCAGAGGCATGTGATGACACTAGAGGCAAGACTGAGGTTTTAGAGAAGGCCCTGGCAATTGTGCCATATATGAAGAGTTAGGTTGGAACATTGTTAGCATCTAGCGAACTAGGGAATGGGGAGAATACAGTACTTTTTGTGTACGATTTTATTTTATCTTGAAAATTAGAATGAGAAATTCATCATGTCATAGAAAATTGAGGACAATCACATTTACATGTTTGTATTTCAGGGGTAATACGGATATTGGTCAGAATTTGGGATTAAAAATACTGTGATGACTATTTTTTATAGATTACAATGATCATTATTTTATTTATTTATTCTTTGAAACACATCATCAACAATCGTTATCTATGTTTTCTACCTCAGCTTGAAATCTTGTTTGTTAACTTCTTTTTCTTTTCTTTTTTGTTCTTTTCCTTCTTTTTTTCAAAATAAAAATAAAAATCTTTCTTTATGTTGAATGGACTACATAGTCTATTAATCTGCAGTATCTATTGTAAATTTGGTAGATTTGTCAGCAATCATATGGGAGGTAGATTTGTTGTATTTGACTGCTAATATATGAAATAATTTGAACATGTATTCATTACCTCATGGTGTGTATGCATGTCATCTCTGGAAATTTTATTCTCATTGCTTCATCCCTCTTTTAGTAGTAGTTTGTTCTACTAAATTCCTAACTCATTGACCCATTTCGATATGTGAATGATTTAGATTTTTGGAATATAAACAAATTTTATGTTTCTGAATGATCTAAATTTAACTAGTTCTATGTAACATATGCAAGAAATTAGTGTTTGAGTAGTAGTCAAGAATTAAAGTGGTAGAAGTTATATACAACCTAACCACTGATATGGATGGAAAAAAAAAGTTAGAATTAGTTGGAACCACCGACTCCAACTAAGCACATCAATCTTCTTATCCTTTAGTCTCATTCCATATATTTTATAAGCACATCAATCTCCAAATCCTTTTGCATCTTCAATTGCAAAAACTTGCAGAAAATTGAGAAAAATTCAAGAGCCGGCTCCATGATCATGGTTGAGCCGGCTCCATGATCATGGTTGAGCCGGCTCCATGATATGGTTGAGCCGGCTCCCTTCAAGTGTCTCATTGACCCATTATATCTCGGCACTTCCTAATTTCTATTCATTATTGAAACATTCCAGAGAGCAAACTGACTTAGGAGACTTCACCTTGCTTTGGGCGAATTCTTCCATATGATGGGTTCCTTCACTGGTATGTTAAATCCATGAAATTCCCTCTTCAATTTATATATATTCCTGCTCTTAATTTGTTTCTTTTGCTCTTTCATCATGCTCATTTCATCTAAATTCGCCATTTATCTTTCTTCTTCACAAATACTAAATTCATCATCTTTGGTAAGATTTCATTGTTCATTCTCTTGAATTCATGCTTTCTTGATGTTCATTGGCATCATTATTCAAGCTTGAATATCTATTTGTATCTTTATCAATCTCATATCTGTCAAACCCTCAAAACCCTAGAAATATTATATACTGATTTGAACACAAATTGGCTTGGCTTTGTGAATCTATGCTCTAAATTGCAAATTTTAGTACGATTCCATTCAAGTTCCATCTTGGGTTGACATTTTAAGGCTGATTTTATCAATTCCAAAACCTTTTTGCTTGATGCTCATTAACTGTTCTGGGGTCTCTAGAATGAAGTTTCTTAGCACTCATAACTTGACTGGATGTGCAAATAAAATTAGTTTTTATTTGCACAAATTCTTGGAATTTTAAATTTGATTTCCATTGAATGGTTCTTGAGCATTCAAAATTTCTATTCTATGGCTTCCTCTTCACGTAGAAAAAATCCTTCTCGTGGCCAAAATAGGAATAGTAGACGTACCCATGATCATGAATCCGGCCCTAGTGAAGAAAATCCTCCCATTCAAATCTCTGCAACAATGTTGTATCGAACTCCTACATACAAGAAGTTATATGAAAAAAATTTCAATCTTAGGAAAGTGGCCAAAGGAAAAGTTTTGTCACAGACAATTTGTGACGACCTCAACCTCAACACCTATAAACTCTTCGATGCTATTGGCCTTGGTGCATTTGTTGGGATGAACAAGAAGTATTATCCTAGACTTGTGCAATTATTCTACACCCACCTTGAGAAAATGCCTGGTGTAGAGAGACTTCAATGCTATGTGGCTGGAATAGTATTCCATCTTGATGTTAGCAGCATTGCCAGAATTCTTCATCTTAAGGATGGTATTCAATTCTACTCACCACAAAGATGGTACAGCGGGGAAGGTTTTGACAAACTAGCAGCAATTCGTCAAATGAGCTATGATTCCCGCACCACCAATACCAAAGAGGTCAAATCCAAACAATTAACCATGGAAGCTCGCTTGATCCACAAAATCATTGCATACTCCATTCTTCCTAAAACCGGCAGCCGCTCAAAAGTCTCTCACATGGAAATCTTTTTGATTTGGTGCGTGTTAAATGGAAAAGTATTTGATTTGGTATATATCATTTTTCATCACATGTTCGCATGCAAGATAAAGAAAAAGAGTCCCCTCCACTATGCCATGGTTCTCACTCACATCTTCATGGATAAACATGTTCCACTTGATCAAAGTGAATCAGCCAAACAAGGCCCAAGAGATATACTCGATGCTTTCAATCTTGACCAAATGGGGCTAAAAAGGGACTCAAACGGTGAGTGGTTTTATCCTAGGCAACGAAAGTTCGAAGAGGCTAGAGCTAGAGGAGAAGAGATTGAGGATGTTGATAATGGGGATGAAGAAGAACCAGAAAGTGATGACAGTACTGAAGATGAGGAAGTTCCAACTCTGAAATGCACCAATCGTGATCTGTTGTTGGAAATTCTCAAAGGCACTCGTCAAAATCAAGCCACTCTTGAAAAACAACAAGATCAACTTGACAGTCAACAAGCTCAGCTTGACGAAATGCAAGTGACAATCGATAATCTTAATGATGATTTTCAAGTATTTCGAAGAGCATATCGTCCTCCTCCACCTTAGAACAATATCCCTCCGTTTCAAACTGTTTCTGTGTGCCCTCACTTACCATATTCGCTTTTGGGAAGCATAGGCCAATTTTTTTTTGCTATGTTTTATTTATTGACAGGATTTTCTGTTAAAGTCGTTTTCATGATCAATGTTTTTGTCGAACATGGTAGCTGTGTCCTCACTCTCCTTATGTATTGATCTTTGCCATCTATAAAATTAAATATTTACTTCATATTTATTCATTTGCCCTTTATTTCATTGTTTACGAAATACGAAATACCTTGTTGCTCAAATATTCATAAATAAAATCTTAACAGCACTAGAAAACCTTTGTCTGGATGGTGGCAAGTCTTGAAGTGAAGGCTGAATACTTCAGAATTTGGGAGAATACTCACTGAAGCCAAAATGGGGGTAAAATGGCGCTGTAGGTAAAAGGTGCACATAACAGTGTGTTAAATAAAATAAAGAAGAAGATGAATTTGAGTTCCATGTTTACGAATAATCCAATGATAATTGTTATGTTAGTCACCATAGGACTTGCTTACGTAGAATCACACGACCAATCGGGAATGGGAACTCTTGAAATTAGAAACTTTTGGCAGACAACAATTTTAATTTTAAAAAGAAGAAGAAGAGATGTACCTAAAGAAGGAAAAATAATTAGATAAAACACAGCTATTATAATCATGTTTAAAAATATAGCGCAACGCTTCATAACTTTGACCCAGA